AATGTTATGGCTGCAGAGGAGGTGTACAAAGAGAAAGATCAACATTTAAATTTAAAATTTGATAGGTCCATTCAGAAGCCTGATAACAGTGGGGGTGAAGCTGTTCTTGAATCTGTTGGTGTGTGCATTTAAGTTTTTGTGTCTTCTGCCCAACAGAAGAGGTTGGAAGAGATTACAACTTGGGAGGGCTCTTTGATTATGTTGGCTGCCTTCCCAAGGCAGTGAGAAATATAGATGGAGTCAAGGGATGGGAGGTTGTTGCGTAATGGACTGGGCTCTGTTCACAACTCTCTGTAGTTTCTTACAGTCCTGGGCAGAGAAGTTGCCATACCAAGCCATGATACACCCGAATACAATGCTATCTATGGTGCTTCTATAAAAATTGGTGAGTCTTTATGGACATGCCAAAGTTCCTTAGCCGCTTGAGGAGGTAGAGGCGTTGTTACGTTTTCTTGACCATAGCATCAACATGGGTGGATCAGGAGATTGTTAGTGATTGTCACTCCTAGGAACTTGAGGGTCTCGACCATCTCCACCTCAGCACTATTGACATAGACAGGAGTGTGCCGTCCACCTTTCTTTCTGAAGTCAATGATCAGCTCTTTTGTTTTGTTGACATTGAGGGACAGATTCTTATCATTACACCATGCCACCAAACACTCTATATCTTTCCTATATCCTGTCTCATCAATAAATCAGGACTAAAATTTTTTAACTGGTGGAAGGCAAATTTTACAAAACTGAGAAGTGATTTGGCTGAGGTCGACTGGACAGGACTGCTAAAGGATAAATCAGTGATAAACCAGTGGGAGGCATGAAAAAGTGAAATCCTTAGGGTATATAGCAGACATGCCCCCTCCAAAAATAAGAATGGTGCTCCCAAATCTTGGCCCCACAGTTGACTAGAAAAATACAGGGGAAGATTAATCAGAAAAAGAAAGCTTGAGTCACAAAAAACTCAACACTACAAATAGCCTACAGGAGTTTAGAAAGTACAGGGATCAAGTAAAAAAAGAAATAGCAGTTTTTTTTAACCAGTATATAAACAGCAAGTGCATAGTTAAGGAGAAGAAGGGAACTTGTTTGAAAATGCAGAGGATATGGAAGAACTTTAAATGATTTTTTTGTTTCTGTATTCACAAAGGAAAAGGATGATATGGATATAGTAAACCAAGACGAGCAGTGTGAAATATCACAATGAGAAAAGAACTGTTAGTGGAGTTGGAATTCTTCAAAGTGGATAAATCACCACGACTGCGTGGATTGTTCCCAAGGGTGTTGAAGGAGGTCAGGGAGGAAATAGCAGATGCTCTGAGGATTATTTTCCAATCTTCACAAGACAGGTGAGATGCCAGAGGACTGGAGGAATGCAAATGTAGTTCCATTGTTTAAAAAGGATACAAAGGGAATGCCAAAAATTATAGGCCAATTGGTCTTATTTCGGTGAAGGGCAAATTGTTGGAATCAATCCTGAGAGATCAGATAAACTCTCATTTAGAAAGGCATAGACTAGTCAGGGACAGTATGACTTTGTTAAGGGAAGGTCAAGCCTTACAAATTTGATTGAATTCTTAGAGGAAGTGACAAGGAGGATCATGAGGGTAGTGCAGTGGATGTTGTCTACATGTATTTCAGTAAGGCATTTGACAAGGTCTCACATTCAGACTAGTTAAAAAAGCAAAGGCCTGTGGGATACAGGATAATGTATCAAATTGGATGCAAAGATGGCTTAGTAACAGCTAACAAAGGGTAATGATTAATGGCTTTCCTTGTGAATGGAAAGATGTTTCAAGTGATGTTCCACAGAGCTCATTGTTGGGACCCCTGCTGTTTGTTTTATACATTAATGATTTCAACGTGGGGGGCACAATTGGGAAACTGCAGACGACACAAAAATTGGCCATGTAGTGGACAGTGTACAGGATAACTGTAAGCTCCAAAATGATGTAGATGGGTTGCTGGAGTTCAACTCTGATAAGTGTGAGGTAGTGTGTTTAGGGAGGTCAAACAGTAAAAGGGAGTACACAATAAATGGGAAAATACTGAGAGGGGTGGATGAAGTGAGAGGTCTTAGAGTACAAGTGTACAGGTCCCTGAAGGTAACAGTACAGATAGATAAGCTTGTAAAGAAGGAACATGGAATGCTTGCCTTCATTGACAGGTATAGAATACAAAAGTAGGCATATAATGATGAAACTGTATAAGACACTGGTGAGGCCACAACTGGGATATTGTGTGCAATCCTGGTCACCACTTTACAGGAAGGACACAACTGCTCTGGACAGAGTGCAGAAAAGATTCATTTGAATGTTGCTAGGGCTGGAGAATTGTAGCTATGAGGAGAGGTTAAGGAGGTTTCGATTGTTTTCCTTGGAACAGAGAAGGCTGAGGGGTAACATGATTGAGGTATACAAAATTCTGAGGGGTAGAGTTATAGAATTGCACAGCACAGAAACAAGACCCTTCAGTCCAATTCGTCCATGCTGACCAAGTTTCCCAAACTAAATTAGTCCCATTTGTCTGAATTTGGCCCATATCCCTCTAAACCTTTCCTATTCATGTAGCCATCCAAATGTGCCCCCTCCGGTTCCCCAGTTGCTGGGGGTACAAGGCTAACTAATGTCCAAGTTGAGATCAGCATCAATCGTGGAGTCAGGAGTTCATGGCTCAGGTACCCAATGCTGTTACCAGCTGAACAATCAGTTTTACAGTCGACCAGTTCATTACCTCAGCAAGAAGAGTAAAGTTTTCATTGAACGACTGGCAGCTTGAGGAACTTTCTGGAGTCTGCAGGTAACCAGTGACCGTCTTCATGACATTCAGCTGTCCATTTATTTCCACGTGTGGAAATGAACCTAAGGCAACATTCCAACCTTCTCCAAAAGCTGAACCCAACTCGCTGTAAAGGGATGGAAGTAATGCAGACGATGAAGCGTTCTGCTTCAATCTGCTTTCTGGAATTTGAGCAAACCTACTTTGAGAACCATTTGTTCGGTTCCCCCATTATTGCTCACAGCAAACAATGCATCCTATGATGAGTTTGCCTGTAGCCTGTTTGTAATCCTTCTCCCTCTGAAGCCCATCGGAAATGCAAGGTCGTATTGCAGATAACCTTTCGCCTGTGCAGAGTGCATCTGTCAACATGTGATAGGCCATTGTGAGCCAGTGAGGTATGAAATGAACAGCTTACACTTAGTCCTTTCTCAAAAGGAGTTATGCTAGCTGCTGAACAAATTAAAAATTTGACATTAAACATTCATGATAATCTACACAGGAAGAAACCCCACCTGCTCAAACAGTAAAATATTAATCATTAACCATTGGCCATCATCTCACACGAATAGAATTTTCACATATGTTGTTCAATTAGAATGTGAGGGAGGCAGAAGACTGAATGCTTTGATCAAAACTACTTTCATATAAACTGCTGTTGTTCAATTTCCAAGAATTCCCAATGCACACATTGTCATTTCCTGCCCACGAATCCTACTTCCTTGTGACTTGTTTGTCGATCACATTTTTGAGCCAGTGTTTAACTCATTGAGAATGCCCACATAAGTATTTTGTAATGGCATTTTCCCATGTCAACACTCAGCTGTCACATTCCAATGATGGACCAATCTTTCAAACGACTTTACAGAAAACTTTTCCTCAGCAACTGAAATTTTAAAAATGTCCCAACATTAGCTCTTAATTTTGCTTAAACTCTTTCTTTAAAGAAAAGAGTTCTTCTCAATCAAGTTCCATACAATCCATTAATTTGTTTCCTGTGTTTTCAATTGAAGGCCTCTATAGCCTGGGCTCAGATTTGACAATGTAGCCCAGAACCATGATTGTTGGCTGGAGGTGAATGTTTAAGTCTGAGCAGGTGTCTTGAAGCTGAGTTAGGCCAAGAATTGGAAGGGCCAGTGGTTTCCAGACAAAAGGTAGTGCCAGGTAAACTTATTCTCCTTCCTTCTTTTTGTGGTGACAATTGGAAAGGAAGAGGTTACAGTGAGTGAGACTCCCCTATTGGGTGACTTGGGTTTTGGTCTAAATTGGGACATTTAACACTACTGAAGATGAATAAAATTTCTAGATACATTCCAATGACACTAGAAGTTATTCAGGCTGTCTCAGGTAATGTCACATGACACAGCAGCAAAGGTAAAGTGGTTTCAATTTATCAGAAGCTCCCTGAAACTATCCAAATCTTTATGATATCCATATTGTGACCCACTGCAACTCCACTCCCCTGCTGTGGCAAATGTACAAACACTCCAACTGCTTGCTAATCGATCCTTTCCCGAACTGAAGGACTCCTGTGGGTTTTTTTAATCCCATGGGCACCAACCACTCCAAGGCACTTTGCAAAAATTAACGATTCTTCATGCTCAACTGGCTATTCAAGCACAGAAGGCATCACAAACATGCCCAAGATCACACCCGCATGTGTGTACTTTCTGCTCAACACTGAGCAGGAGCAGAAATTGTGACTGACTCTGGAGACATCCAGACTGGCTGTGGCATGGTGGCTCAGTGGTTAGCACTGTTGCCTCACAGCACCAGGAACCCAGGTTTGATTTCACCTTTGGGTGACTGTCTGTGTGGAGTTTGCACATTCTCCTATGTCTGCGTGGATTTTCTCCGGGTGTTTCAATTTCCTCCCACAGCCCAAAGACGGGCAGGTTAGGTGGACTGGCCATGTTAAATTACCCCTAATGCTCAGGGATGTGCAGGATAAGTGGATTAGCCAGGGCTGCAGAGATAGAGTGGGGGGTTCCTGGGTGGGATGCAGTTCGCAGGGGTCAATGTGGACTTGATGGGCCAAATGGCCTGTTTCCACACTGTAGGGATACTATGATTCTATGATACTATGATTACCCAGGTTTTGCTCACTAATCAAGCACAGGCAGAAGGATTAGTCTGTTGGTCTTCTTGTGCTCAGATCAAACAGTGCAGTTCCCCATCTAACTGGATACCTGTTTTAAAATGAATAAGACACTGGACCGACTGCTGACTGCTGAAATTCAGGCTCACACTCTCCACAGTTCAGTATCAACTGCCATGGATGATATTCACTCTGAAGATGGTGTAAACACAAGATTTTAATGGATGATATCAGAACAGATGGATTATGCACATCAGATGAGATCGAACAGACTCAGGCCCTTTTGTCCAGGAAAAGCTGACCCAAGGCTGACCCAACAGAGGTCTTTAATTTTATTAAAGGCCTTGAACACATGGAAGTAGAGAAGATTTTTCTAGTTGTGAGGCAAGCAAAATTAGGAACCAGAAATCTGCAAGGTCACTCATAAATCCAATAAGGAAGTCAGGAGAAAAATGACAATGGTAACTTGGAAGATTGAGACAAATTGCAAAATGCTAGAGATACACTCGAGGGAACAGCATGATACGTTGACAGTGAAATGAAGTAGGATGGGAGGAGGCTTCTGTGGAGCATAAAATGCCAGAACAAACCAGATGGGCTGAATGGTCTTTTGCTGTGCCAGTAAAATTCCACACAATGATTGATGAACTGCCACATACGTTATGTTTTTTTACCTGAGTTATCAAGACCAACACTTGGCCTACTGCTGTTCCTAATCTGAATTTGCGTAAAAGCAACTCAAGTTGATTATGAAGTACTCAATCTCCAACTTTTTCCAGTTCACATAAGAGTTCATTGATCTAAAACACTGACTCCAGTTCTGTCTCTTTGTACATGCCGCCTGAAATGCTAGGTGTCTCCATCAATTCCTTTTTCTGTTTCCAGTCTCCAGCATCTGCAGTATTTGACGTTTGTATTGCAAGGCCGTTTTGCTACACCTACTGATACCTCAGGATCTGCAGCCCATGCCCACACAGGGCATAAAGGTGAGTCTCTGAGCTGGCACCCTCCCAGTTCTCCAGGTCGGCGACGTCTGCCACATGACAGCACATGCTATCCAGGAAATGCAGTCCACGGTCGCTCAGCTCCCAGTGCGTCAGTCGCTGGTCGATGGAGACGGAGGCCAGCAGCCTTGAGCTCAGGACCTTCACTCCAGTCACATGCGCGGCGTGCGCACTGTCAACTCGCGGTCCCTCTGTCACCTGCATGGAAAACTCTGCGTTGACATATTGTCCTTCCGAGGCCCCAACACTCGCTGCAACATCCTCACGTGCAGTTGCTCCCACAGAAATCGTCCAGACACGGATGGCATTATCGTCACCACCACTGGCTAACAGGTAGTGTCCGGGATCCAGGGATCTGACGTGAAGTCCATTCACTCCACACTGATGGGCGTTCAGCACCAGACAGGGGACCTCCAGCACTGCGAGAAACACAAGAGAATTCTGCGTCAACTCACCCAAACGCTGCTTCCTGTTGCCAACTCTATGAAGGCACTGAAGAGCAGTTTAATCAAATCAAAAATCAAATTATAGTTTTAATCAAAAATTATAATGCTCTGGTCAGGCCTAATTTGGAGTTATTGTGTGCAGTTTTGGGCCCCATATCTCAGGAAGGATGTACTGGCCCTGGAGCAGGTTCAGAGGAGGTTCACGAGAATGGTCCGAGGAATGAAAAGCTTAACATATAAGGAATGTTTGAGGGCTCTGTGACTATACTCATTGGAGTTTAGAAGGATGAGGGGGGGATCTAATTGAAACTTACAGAATACTGAATGGCCTGGACACAGTGGATGTTGGGAAGATGTTTTCATTTGTAGGAGAGACTCGGACCCGAGGGCACAGCCTTAGAGTAGAGGGAAGACCTATTAGAATGGAGATAAGGAGAAACTTCTTCAGCCAGAGAGTGGTGAATCTATGGAATTCACTGCCACAGAAGGCTGTGGAGGTCAGATCATTGAGTATATTTAAGACAGAGATAGATAGGTTCTTGATTATCAAGGGGATCGAGAGTTACAGGGAGAAAGCGGGAGAATGGGGTTGAGGAACGTATCAACCATGATTGAATGGCGGAGCAGACTCAATGGGCCGAATAGCCTAATTTCAGCTCCTATGTCTTATGATCTTAGTGTCTTAAGACAGTTTAAAGGGCGTTGCAGCCCCATAATGGGCTCCTATATCGGAAACCCAAAAATTTAAAAGTAACAAAATTCAAATTAGTACATCACTTTTGAGATTAATAATGCACTCCAGCCCCTGTGGTGCCCAGTGACCACGGAAAGCCTTCAGCAGGCCAGTGGACAATGCATGCTCACTTTCCAGGGACACCCAGGCAGAGACATCAACATAAAAGAGCGGGAGGACGAGTAACCCTCTAAACTATCTTCCAGTTGCCAACTTGAATATTTACCCATGCCTCCGCACTCCCAACATGTTGACAGAGACTGGCTCAAACCACACACCCCCTCCCCCAACTCCATCCTCCCCTGAAAGATCATGGAGGTAATAATATAATGAGTTACATTTTGGAGAGGGCTATACAAATGTGTCCTCTCCCCACTGCAAGTTCCATCTGATAGTGAATGACTTTGCCTGAATTAAATATCACCACATCTTAAAACGGGTGACCAATGCAATTCCACCCCTTGTACATCTTACCCAATTTAAATTTCACCCCATACGTTTTGGCTGGTACACTGACACGAAAGAATTGTATTTTGATAGTGCCTTTGTAATTTCAAGACAATATGGTCAATTAAGTATCTTGAAATGAAGTCACTGTTGTTATGTAGCAAAGTGTAGAGAAACAGACTGAATTTGGAGAGTATATCCACAAAATCTGGAGTTAGCACGCTAGTTAAATCAGGTGATCAGGAAGGCACGTGGAGTGCTTTCCATTATTGGCCAAAGCCTAGGGAAGTAATTTTAGAACTGGATATGACACACAGACTGCAGCAGGGAATACTGTGCACAGTCCTGGCCAGTGCCTTACAGGAAGTATGTGATCATATTAGACAGGATTACGAGGATTTTGACAATGAAGAAAAATTGGTGTGGCCAGGGTTCTTTTCCTTGTAACATAGGAGACTGAGAGGAGATTTAATTGAGGTGTGTAAAATGGAGGGGAACAGATACAGTGGATAGGGAGGTCTCGTTCCTTTACCAGAGAAGTCTATGTCAAGTGGATTGAAAGTCATTGGCAGAAAATTAGGGTGCAGTTGAGAAAGAATTTCCTTGCAGAGGGTGATGGGTATCTAGAACTCATTGCATACAAAAAAAAATGTGGATTTGAACTGGGGATAAGCTGGACATGGGATTAGGCTGGTCAGTTTTTTTACTCACCCTGCATAGACAAGATGGGCCAAATGGCCTCCTTATGAGTCGTTAATTTTTCTTTGTTTCTCAGTTTATTAATTGTAGCCAATTTGCACACAACTACCTTTAACAAATAGCAATAAGATAATTGATTTGAGAGAATAATTGTCACTTTGGCTCTCTCAGGTATTGATCAAATGCTTTTGTGGTGTTAACTGAGAGGTAAATACTTGGACCAGGAAGAAATTTCTACATTACCTTACCTCCTGCAGCACAATCTGTGTGACTTGCATTGCATGTAAAATCCCAGAGAAAGTGAAAGTACCAAATGTCAAGCAAAATGCAAGCAATAACAAGTAATATCCATCCCCCAACCCCACCCTACTTTCCCCACCCTTGACCTGCAGTGATTGGAATGAGAGCCAGGTGGATCTCATTGACTATGAGATCCTTGATTGGGGTTGTTAACCTGGGCCACTCAGGGAGCCCTGGCTGACAGATATGAGCAAGAGATTCAGAAGGTCTCCTCAGTCTAGGGACTGGCTTTGAGCTGGCTGGTCAGAGCCCACCTACTCTGCACATGTGAATAAAGGGTGACTTGGTGATGGGATAGTGGCCTCTACTGGCCTTCTCAAAACAGCAGGTTATTGACAATGGGACATAGCTGAGATGGGAGGTATGGAAAATGTGCCGGATAAATTCGAAATTTAGCTTCAATTTTTGCACAGTGACTCCAAAGCGAGTGTTTCCTGAGCCAATGGAGTGTGGTCCCCACGCAGTTACATGATACACACTCGTGAACTGGTGCAGCCCTGGAGGGGTTAGATTGACTCACCGCCAATGGGATGCAGTAATGCAGGGTGGTGTGTCACTGATCCAATCAAGTTTATTCTTACTGAGCTGGATGATACATACCCCAAGGCTGACAGGCTCCTTCTGACAGAGTAGTTGCCATGTTGGCTTTCTCAATGGTTCCCGAGATATCCCACAATGCTATTCTCCCATCAGTGGCCGCACTGCACAGAAAGACCCTGCTGCAGGGAACAAGAGGGGTTTTGTTTACTTTACCACACGAAACAGCAACATTGCTATCTTATTAATTTATTTTACTGATAGCGTTAGATAGAGAAAATGAACAGAAAAACAGAAAGATTTGCGTTGACATAACACTTTTTACAATAATCACACATCTGAAAGCAATTTACAGGCAATGAACTATCCTGAAGTGTTGTCCCAGTTGTGACATAAGAATCCCAGCAGCCACTTCTTTATTTTAAAAATCACTCACGGGGTGTGGTCTTCACTGGCCAAGCCAGGATTTATTGCTCAGTCCTAATTGCCCTTGAGAAGGTGGTGACAAACAAAAACAGAAATTGCTGGAAAAGCTCAACAGGTTTGGCAGCATCTGTGGAGAGAAATCAGAGTTAACATTTCAGGTCGGGTGACCCTTCCTCAGAACTACAGTATCCGCAGTTCTTTCGGTTTTTCTTGAGAAGGAGGTGGAGAGCTGCCTTCTTGAACCGCTACAGTCCACATGCTGTAGGGACACCTGCGTTTTTCTTAAGAAAGGAGTTCGAGGATTTTGCCTTTAGTGACAATGAAGGAGCAGTGATTTACTGCCAGTTAAGGTTGGTGAGTGGCTTAGAGGGGAACTTGCAGGCAGTAGTGGTCTGATGGACCTGCTGTGCGTGTCTGTTTTTAATGATGTTAATTAAGGAATAAACATTGATTGGACACCAAGGAGAACTTCTTCAGATTTCCATAGGATCATTCCTATCCACTTGGGATGTCAGACAGGGTCTAGGCACAATGTCTCAGTGGAGACATGCCACCTCCGATAGTCTAACACTCTTGTCCAAACTGCACTGGGTGTTGATCCAGATTTCAATACTGGAGGGGAACAGACATGATATAATCATAGAGAGGGAGAGAGAGCACACGAGCATGTTATAGAAGGAACAGTGTTACATCACTCAACTAGGAATCAGGAGTGCGTGGAGCATCTATGGAGAGAAAACAGAGTTGATGTCTGTTTCCTGTTCACGGATGCTGCCAGAATTTCTGCTTTTGTTTGTTTCTGCATTCGTTTGTTGACCGAAAGAACTGCGGACACTGCAACTCGGAAACAAAAACAGAAATTAAAGTTCTGAGGAAGGGTCACCGGACCCGAAACATTAACTCGGATTTCTCTCCACAGGGGCTGCCAGACCTGCTGAGTTTACCCAGCAATTTCTGCTTTTTTTTCCACAACTTCTGTTTTATTTGAGTAATCAGGGATTACGAGTTGAAATCCTGCTGGGAGTTAAATAAAAAAAACTGAAATAAACATTAATATCTGAAATGTGGCCTTGAAACAACTGAATTGGTGTAAATATCCATCTGACTTAAAGAGGAAGTAAATCTACCAGCATATCTGTGACTCCAGACCCACAGCAATGTGGTCAACTCTGAAATGGCCCAGCAAGCCACTCAGATTCAAGAAGGCAGCCCTACACCACCTTCTCGAGGGCAACGAGGGATGGCAAATAAACACCAGCCTGGCCAGTGATGCTTTTACAAAGAGACAGACGGAATACATTGTAACGAACTAAATCAATAAAACTGGTGACACTTGGAAAAATACCTCACAACTCATCCCCTCAATACATCACTCCTCCCCCCCCCC